CGGTTCGTGCAACTGAAACCTAGTCGCCCGATCCGAGGGCTTGAATCTTGGGTGGGGCCCACTAGCCCGTGAGCTTTTTCGGTTAAAATAAATAGTGGGTCCCGGCACTTGTGGGGCCCGCTGAGAATGTTAGAGAGGCGGATTGGTTTGAGTGGGTTGGGTTGTTAGCCGGGGGTGGAAAAGTGAAGGCATTAATTTGGTGATATAAGATTATTTTAAAAAAATTTAATTGTGTATTAATTTAGTGCTTTTTGTACTTCTTTTTGGTTACTTTTTGAGCAAGTGAGGGGGGAAAAGATAAAAAACAATGTATTTGACCTGCAATCATAATGCGTAGGTTTTGAATAATGTTGGACATTGCGAGTAGTAATTAATTATTTCTCTGTATTTATAATAAAAGACTTTAGGATTGGTTTAGCGTTTAGACTAGCCCCATGGGACCACAAAGTGATACAAGCCATAGTAAATGACTACGTGGTGAAAAATGATAGGGGCATGTCCCCAACCATACCTCTAACCACACCTCCTCTCTCATTTGCTACAGTACACCGGGTGCCACATGTGATTTTAAAAATTTAAAATCACATGTGAGGCCCGGTGTAATGTAACAAATAAGAGAGATGGTGTGATTGGAGGTGTGGTTGGAGGTGTGCCCCTAGTGCCACCCCTACGTGGTTCTCTTTAACAACAAAAGGCGTGACCATTGGTCCAGTATAGTGCCGCCTATAATAATGAAGAATTTTGTTTCTTTTGGTATTTGCATGTAGGTCCTAATTTTTTTAATATAAAATCGTATCATTTGACGCCTATTACTGTATAAATTCTTTTTATCTATGAGAAGTTTCTTAGAACTTAGAAGTACTAAAATAAAATAGTTTTGCTGGAATAAAATTCTTACACGAAGGGGACATTTCTACAAACGACTACAATAAAAAAATCTTTTCTATTATAGATACCACCTTGTATATATATATATATATATATATACTAGATTTTATACACGTGCAATGCACATGGTTAATATATACACACACTAGATTTTATACACGTGCAATGCACGTGGTTAATACACACACACACACACAAGATTTTATACACGTGCAATGCACGTGGTTAAATACCATGATTAAATATTTTTGACTTATTTTCAAAGTAAAATGTGTTCATTAGTTCCACTTTAATAGTTTGTGGTCACTTTTGTCTCTAAACTTTTATATCGCGATTTTTTTTTATGTCAGGGATGACACGAAAAACTTATTTTTCGGTAATTTCTTTGATGATAACACCGATGTATCAATTAGGACGTACTTTGAGGAGAAACAGGAATACGAAGAGACGGTCAACGACTTCGTCTAGCACTTCCGAAATAAGGCGATGCATTGTCGAGATCCAATCATAGAGGACTTCATCCTCTAAGCCTGTCATAACAACCTGTTCATTGATATCTTGAAGGTTATGGGAGTAGCACCGTCCAAGACTTGGAGAGAGTTAAAGGTGTATGGAGAGCAGGCCGAACGAGCTTCAGAAGGAAGAATACCGAGAGAAGCCAATCGGTGGCTAACCCTCCAAAGTTAAACTTCACCTCCCGTGAAAAAGAGAAGGCACCTGCACCAGCTGTTGATGTTAAGCAGACGTCACAGCAGCAACCCCGGAGACAGTAAAAGATTTCGGATCCGAGACTCTAAAAAGAGTACTCCTTCAAAGACGAAGACGTTCCGGCAATTTTTGAGTCCCTTCTTGAAAACAACAAGATCAAGCTGTCACCTATCACAAATCAGGAGGAAGCTAATAATACTTCGGATCCAAAGTACTATGCATACTATATGAGGATCCTTCACTTGTTTCGTCCTTAAGAATATCATCCAAATCTTGGTTGAAGCTAGCGTCATAACGCTAAATTAATCTGAATCAAGACTCCGAAGAGTATACGAGTATAAACTGTTTCACAATCCTCCAATATGTGTATGAGGTTAAACTGCTCCCTGCATATTCCAATAGGTATATGAGTCTAAACGGTTTCCTACCTTTGATGGAAAGTTCCTGGAGAATCTTATATTATTAAGGATAACCCGAACATGCAATTGAGGACAATGTGCTCCTCATTGAACCCAGTTTCGCAAAGAAAACTGTGGATGTATAATTCATGTAATGGAAAGTTCTCGAAAGAATATCACATGTAATATTCTTAGGGATAACCCGGTCATTACAAACAAAGTGATAAACACTAAACTCCTGTTGTTCAAGTCCTGACATAGCACTGGAAATTTTAATTCGAACGGTCTATTGTGATTGTCAAATCCCCTTCGTGTCAAGATCTCATCATTTGACATCAAAAACCCCCACTGAGTGATTCATACAAGTCAACACCCCCACTATGATTTATACTTTCACTCCCACTTGATCAAACATTTAAACAGTTAGGACCACAACCAAAATCCTCTCTTAATTCTTTCTATGAACGAGAGGTCCACAAATTGAACGATCAAACCTTTAAACAGTTAGGATCGCTCAAACCCCCCCCCCTCCATTTGATCAAACATTCCTACAATTAGGACCAAAGTCAAAATCTCCTCTCGATTTCTTCTATGAGGTCCACTTTCAAATCGAGTGATCAAACCTTCCTACAGTTAGTGTTACCTCAAACTCTCGCTTGGTCAAACATTTCTACAGTTAGGATCAAAACCACAATTTACTCTCGATAAATGAGAAATTCACGTTTAGTTCAGTAATCAAACTTTTCGACAGTTAAGATTATCTGAATCTTTTCGATTCTCGGAGTGGAGATCTCACTCTTAGTTTCACTCTTTAGATTCTTAAAGTGGAGATTCCACTTTGAGTTTTCTTTGCAACTGGAGATTAAATATAAAATTCTTTCTCTCCAGCATCGGGTTCGTCTTTGCCCCAAGAGAAGATACTACTTTTTAACTCCCAAAATCCGCGCCTCATGTAGGATCTGAAATAGATACACTTGAACACTAGAGGTGGGGTGAATAGTATTCTTTTAAAATTTATTCAAAGTATATTATAAATTGCAAAGAAAAATGGCAATTTCAAAAATTCACAATCATAAACACAAGGATTTATACTGGTTCCACCAATTCGGTGTACATCCAGTCCCCAAGCAAATCTCGCTTGAGAGTTTTCACTATAATTTTGAATAAACTTACAAAATCAAACTCAAACATGACCAATTTGCAATGTTGGCCTTCTTGTTTTGATGATGATTTATAAATAATTTACTACTAATGTTGTTTGTCTAGTGTTTGTGCATTCCTATGTTTTGTAGACAAACAACGTTGTTGGAGGATGGATGGAATAGAGCTTCAACGATCATATCCAAAGAAGGTTGGCGGAATGTCGGTGAAGCCTTGCTATTCAAAGTTCAAGATCCAAGTTCAAGCTTCATTCGCGAGATTACCAAGTCAAGCTTATTGAAGATCAAGATCAATGCTTGGGTAATTTAGTTTAGGAATTTATATTATGTGTGTTAGTACTTTAAGCTCAATCATATACACACATACACGTTTTGGTTTTTGTATATATATAGTTATATATATACATATATGTTTTGGTTTGATAGTTTTCAAGTTTTACTATGAAACAATTGAATATAATTAGAAAACATATTTTTGTTTCATACTCATATGCATATATATGATTTCATCAATATCAATTTTAGTTAGTTAAATGAAATCATGTTTTAGTGCATTATATGTGTATTTTGATAAAATACTACATTCATTGTTTATAGACTTCATAACAATAGTT